TCCCCCAAGTTGCTTTTGGTTATGGTGTTTATCACCGTAATATAAAACCTCGCTACGATAGTTGCCATGGCCACATAGGGGCCACCGCATGTTAGCATCGTCTACTCCCAGTCTCGGCCACGGTTGCAGCACATCTGCACCGGTACAGGGTACAGCCGTTTCAGCCGCACACCTAACTGCTTACACCACGTGCCCAGAGCGCCAGACTTCCTGGTCCAGCAGAGCCTTTTGTCAGATTCCCTGGTGTCAGGCTTACATCTACTTGGATGCCCCCAGGACCAGAAACCTCACTGTCTCTCAGACAGCAGCAAGCCTGGCCCAAGTCTGGGGAGACTGACTCAAGGGCAAGGTGACCCTGGGTGGGTAGGGGAGCTGGGGGGAGGTGCAGACTGAGCTGGAAGACAAGGAAAGAGAGGGAGCCTGGAGTGCACCTGTACCCACCCCCACCCATCGGCCAGCCTGAGGGGAGGCCCCCAGCCCCACACCAAGGAGAGAGGACAAACGGCCGTTTTGTCCTTGGACAGCGGGCGGCCTGTACTACACAATGACCCTTTCATCAGGCTGAGGGAGCCCTGGGCCGGGGTTTCATCTGACAAGGGAGGGCGCCAGCCTCTTGTCCCCTTGGGAGGGGAGCTGAGCCCTATCCCAGCCGGACTCAGGACTGTGCAAAATGGAGGCCTCCAGGGAGCCTGCTGAAGCTGTTTCACCTGCCTGGGAGACGGAGAGGTTAGTAGGCTGGTTTTGGGCTGCACAGAGGGGCCCGGCTCTGGAGCAACCTGGGTCCAAAATATTAGTTTCCATCCCTGCTCAGAACACTGGCTCACACCCCAGCAGGGCATCCATGTCCACCAGGACACCTGCAGCAACAGAACCCTGGTCCACGTGCCCTTCCAGGCCAGCCTGAGGCTTGGAGGCTCGCAGGAGAGCGCCAGAGGAGAAACAGCAGGAAGCATCATTTTTAGACATCTCCCTTCACGGTGATCACCTGCCTCATCGCCCTGGTGACAGCTGGCAGTGCCACCTCGCCCCTCTGGGATGGGCCACCGCGGGAGAGCCATGTGGGGGTTAGAGCCAGGGAGGCAAGGTGATGGCATGGAGTCTGGGTGAGCTCATCTCTGAGGACCCCAGTACTGTGTCTGCCTCTCCATTTCCACGGGGACCCCTGGATGTGTTTGACAGCCATGATTGCCCATTCAGGACTCTGCTGTGATCTCACCTAGTCTGACTTAAGACTTCTTTCCACCCCTCTAAATATCCTGTTTAGATCCACCTGCAGGAAGCCCCCTGAGACACCTAGAGAGTACACCAGGCCCTCCTGACTCTCCCTCCACATCTCCCTCTGTGTCACTAGAGGCCACCCCCCCCCACACACACACACCATGAGCCCATGCTATCCAAGAGTCACCTGTCCACTGAACTACCCCTAACATCAGGATCTGAACTGAGCACTGGCCCTGAATCTTCTGAGTGCTCCAGGCCACGCCATGAGGTTTGTGTGAGCTCCACAGAGTCTCCCTGAGCAGAGGTGTTAGTTAAGGTCAGGATACAGTCAGACAGGAAGAGGTGGCCCGAGGATGAGAACTCAGATTTGGCATGCCTCATGGTCTCCAGGACTCCAAGGATACCAGGTTAGAAAGAGCCCCACCCTCCAGTTTCCCCCACAGCCAAAGCCCAAAGAAGCGAAGTCCTCTGCACACACAGGAGCTGGGGAAAGTCCATTCCAGACTGTACCTCCCTCCCCTCTCAGCTGGTAAGTCCTAATACCACAGTGGGTTTGGGGTGGCTTTCTGTGGTTACAGGGGCTCCAGCTGGCAGGTTTCCTGGGAGTTAAGTTGTCCTCGGGTGTTCTAGTTCTAAGGCTGTTGTACCAATGTCCTATGGGGGGGGGGGTCACATGCTTCCAAACCGAGAGACAACTGGGCCCGTCCTGAGCTTTGTTGCCCTGTGACTGGTGAGGAGACCTGGGCCCGGACCGATACCACCCTTCAGGTGACCCGTCCATGTTGAAGTCCTGTGACTTACACTGCCCCCCCTCCCGACTGGGATGCCACAGGAGCAGCCTGATTCAGCGCCCATCTCACCAAGGGTCATGGCCACAGGGCTTTTAGGACTGTGGTCAGCACCACCGGCAAAGCCACAACAGGAGCCAGGAAGAGGCCTGCCGGGGCCTGGGGAGGACAGTGGTGAGCACCCTCTGCACCCCCAAGCCAGGTGGTCGGTGAGTAACCATCCTGTCACCCATGACTCACAGCTCCCCAGAGCAGGCGGTTACCATGACAGGCTATACCGGAAGCCATGGGGGGGTCATCACAGCCAACTACCACATCTAGGCCAGGGAGGCCAAGACCGGAAAGGACCTGCCCTTACAGTAGTCCAGGCTGGTTCTGGCTCCAGGGTTGGGCCAGGCCCTCACACCAGCTGACCCAGCACTCCAAATGCTGCTTGTGGCCTCAGCTCCCATTTGCCTTCCCTTGGTCCCTTGTTGCTTCTACACTTGGTCCCCACTCTACAACATGGGTAGTGGTGGCCAGAGATGTTCTCCCAGCTGGGTCACACTTGGAGTCTTATGGGGCCCTTCCAGGCCAGCACACCCGTCCAATGTGATCAGCGGCAGGGACCCAGGCATGTGTCTGGGATTCACTATGTCCGCATGATAGCCCAGCATGGGGAGCTGAGAGAACAGCCCAGTTGAAAGGGGGCAGGATCAACTGTTGGCCAGTGTGTGCGATCCCAGCAATGGGATGGATGCCTTCTGGAAAGTTCTCTGGAACAGAACACAGCCTCCACTCAGGGCCCCTCCTCGCTGTGGCATCCTCTGGGACATTCCTGCAGTGTTAGAAAGGGGGGGGTGGCTCACACTGACCCCTACCACCTTCCACTGTCAGCAGACTTCTTCAGTTTAGGGGTGCCTAAACCGGGGCGGGGGGTTAGCACGCCATGCTTTCATTCTGGGCATAGAGGTAGCTTCATTCCTAGGCATCTTATACAGCCAACCCTGTGATACCCAGCAAGGTGAGGATGGCCCAGTACTACAATCACTAGGCCTGCCCCCCTCTCTCTCAGGAACAGGGCTTATGATGAACCAAGCAGGTTCTTTCTTTGTACCCCTCATGGCTGAACACCAGACAGGACTAGTTAGTGCTGAAGAAAGGAACCTGGTCTGCCTAACTCTCCACTCCCTCTCCCCGCAGCTACCACCACCACCACTCATGCTGGCCCCAGCCCGGGCCTGGATACACTTGAGAAGCTGTTCCTTTAAAAGAACTTCAACCCCCAGAGTGGCAGTGTAGTCAGGAAGAAACCCATGGTGGATACAGACGCTGAAGATCACCACAAAGCTGGAGAGAGCCCTCCAGGAGAAAACTGGGGGCCTCGGAGGTAGACTGGCTACCATTGCCAAGGAACCTTGCAATTGCTGTGTGGCCAATCAATCCATCTTCTTCTCTCAGACCCAACTCCTGGTCTCCACCCCTGGACACCTCCCCAGGAATACCAAACCTCAGCTGCTAGCTTCCCCAAATGATTTCTCAGACAGAGTAGCTGCAGGCTCTTCAGCAAGGCTTAAGACTGGGGTGGCCAGGATCGGGGAAAGGGACTTCAGAACCAGTAGCATTGGGAGTCCTTGGTTGATCCATTTCAAGGAAGGATTACAGAAGCAGGATTCTCTTGGCCAGGTCCCCACTGATCAGGCGGTGCCCACGGGCCCTGAGCCCTGCCCCGGGAGGCCTGCTACTCCCCACCCCAGGCGATGCCTCCGCAGCCAGGGCTGCCCGCCGGGCCTGGAGCGCTCCCTCTGCCCGGACCTTGTAATTATGTTCCACAGCCGGGGAAACCGCGGGCCTCGCAGCATCTGGCTGCGGTTGCGAACTTTTGTTTCAAGATGCGCGACTATTTATAGAAGGAAAACTGGTAGGATAGTAATTTCCTAGGAGCTGGAGGAGAAATTGGCCGCGTCTTTATTAAAAGGGGTGGGGGCGGGGCAATTTATCAGGACTGTGGCCGCGGGGCGGGGAGGGGGTGGTGCAGGGAGCGGGAAAGCGGCTGCCGCCTCAGGCCGCGTTAGGCGACCCCGGACGTGGCCCGCGTGTTAAGGAGGGGGCGGGGGAGGGGAGGAGAGGGAGAGGGAGCGCTGGCTCTGAGGTTTAATCAGTAGCATCCAGCTTCAATTCCCCCAAACGGCGGTTCCATAAATCAAACTTCTTTTTAAATCGGAGGCCAGAGCATATGCGTCCCATTAGGAACCGGGCGAAGCCACCGCTGTGCGGACGCGCCCCCTCGGCTCTCAGGGCCGCCTTGGGCCCTGCCCCAGCTTCCCGTAGCCTGGTGGGCGCTGCCCTACCCCACACACAAGCGCACTCTCCCGGCCTTGATACCTGGGCGCTCTGCGACCTGAGCGTGCACAGTGCGCGCCTTCCCCGCCTCCAGGAGAGGCGTCCAGCAGAACAGAGGCCAAGGCCTTCAGGCGCGGCAGGATGGCGCGAGTGACCAGAGACCTGGGGGACAACCTGGATGCGCTATTTGGTGGGGCGCAGCATGCACGTGTCTGCCACTGTGCGTGTTGGGAAGCAGATCTGTGCGTGTAGTTCTCCTTAGTGTGGCACGGCCGTACGCGCCGCGTGGGTTAATATGGCCTAGGGAGAAGATCTTCCGCTAATTCAGGATCCTACTGGGACGCGAAGGAAATCTTCGCTCTGACTGGCTAGCTCTGACCCTGGCGCTCAGTGCACACAGCCTAATATGCAAGGCAGTCGGATCCCTCTTAGGTCACCTTTTCTCTGTCCCCTAAGGTAAAATTTTCATTGCTACAGCTGCACTCCCAGGTGTTCTACCGCGGCGGCTTAAGCCAGCAAAGTGACCTAAAACCAGCTTCTGTGCTGCACGCAGGGCTCCCAGCGCCCCACCCGGGGACCCTCTTGCCACCTCCCCCGCCCTCCCTCCTACAGCAGTAGTGGCTAGGGGCTCCCTTCCCATCCACCCTACCCGCCACCCGCGGCACTCACAGGTAGCTGCCGCTGGACAGAAGGAGAAAGATCTGCGGGCAATAGACGGAGACCAGCGCGCTGCGCGGCGACAGGAGGAGCATGATGGGCCGGCGCGCCTGGCTGGGCTGGACAGGCCCCACCCGCAGGGCTCCTGCGCCAACCGAGGCTAGGGTCTCCGCGACCCTCCCTGATGCAGGGCAGCAGCGCTGGGCGCTAGGAGCCAGGGCTCGGGGACCGGGGGACAGTGGTCGCCCGTGTCTCGACGCCAGGACCGCGCATCGTGCTGTATCTGTGGCAGCAGCGGGCGCTGAGGCTGGAGTTCGGGGCGGGGGCCCGGCGGAGGACAGTGGGCGCTCCTTAGCGGCTGTCTGGTCCTCTGTCCGTCTGTCTGTGCGAACGGGCTCTGTCGCTCACTCTGGCTCAAGTCTCCAAGTCTCCCGAAGCGCGCAGCTGCCATTGGACAGGCCGCCCCTACATCCGCCTCCTCCGCGGGCGGGTTTTTTTTTTTTCTTTCTTAAGGGGAGGTTGACCAGAATGTGCAGCGGGTGCCGCCCCCAGGGTTTGCCCAAGTTGCCTTGGCCGGGATACCCTCGCCACAACCTTTGGCTAGAAACACCGCTACTGAGAGCGCATCTCCGGGAGGCACTGCGCGGAGGCGTGTGCGCCTCTTAGGGGTTGTACTCAGCAACGTGTGCTCATGTGTGCATGCATGTGCTTGCATGTTCTTGCAGGAGCACGGGCGGTCTATGTGCCCGCAGGTGTGTGTGCACAGATGCCCTGTGTGTGCTGCCCCTCTGCCTGCATGCAGCCTGGTTAGGGATGGCTGGGTGTGGGTACCTCTTACTGCACCTGGGACAGCCCTGCTCTGGGGCTAAGTTCTAATCCACCCACTTCATGCACCTCTTTGGAGAGGAAGGCAGGTGAAGGCCCCCAGTTGCTGCTCTCATGATGCAGGACCCTCACCTCTAGTTTCTTCATCTCTCATCTTTTGCTCTTTGAGAAGTTGGCTGCGGTGGGTGAGGAGAGATTCTTCTAAAGAACCCTCCCTTTTCTAGTAAATTTTTTTCAGAGCCTACAAATAGATTTTGGGTCCCATCTCCTATTTCTGCTAAAGCTGGCTGTAATGGAATGTACTTATATAGAGTATATGTCAGCTGTGGGGGGGTCTCAGAGCAAGGTGGACAGCAGGAAAGGGGGGGGGAGCTGTGCATGGTACATTTGTGATCCTGAAGAGTGGATCCTTGGCTCCTGGGCTTGGCAAAAAGATTCCCGGCCATCCAGGAGGCAAGAACCTCCCGTATCTTCAGACTTCCCTGTTGTGTTTGCCCCACTGGTTTTCCTATCACAACAGCACAGAGAAACCTAGGGCAGGGCTGGTCCCCGTATCTCAGTGACCTTAGCTGTTTCCTATCCCACCTCGGCTTCTTTCAGGACAGCAGCTCCATCCATGGGGACCTTAGGTTAGGCACTGTGACTTCCTAATGTCATTATGCTTGGAACTTGTTGGAAATCCAAGGCACTTCTGGGATTTTGAGGGCTGAATTCTGGCTCCTGCTAGTATGGGAGGACGAATGTAACTGGGTGGGATTTACTGCACATACAGAAATATGCAGCAGAGGCAGGCTGGGGGCTGAGATCACAAAAGACTCTCTCCCAGGAAAAAATTATCTGGAGGAGCCCCCAGGAGGGCTCCCACACCTTTGAGTGTCACAAAATTCCAACACCACTGCTTACGGCCAGGACAAAAGCCATCAGAATTAATGCCTCCGCTGCCCCGAAGGTTCGACCACCACTCCACTATCTTCAGATGAGGGTGAGAGGCTGCTCTGGGCACAAGTTCACCGAGGCGCCTGCCAGAAGGGATGAGAGATGCCTCCTCCAAAGAGATCACAACTACAGGCTTCCACCTATCCCTTTAGGATACATGCTCGCCCAGTTGGCTTTCCTGCCCTAATGGAGGACACACACAGGCAGACACAGGCGAGGGTACACACATGCGCTCTCGC